TTGCTGTTTCTGTGGCATCACTGTGGCGAGCGTGTTGTGTTTAAGGGCCATCTCCCAGACTGTTCAAAACACTTTCAATCAGCATCGAAATATCGAAAATCAAATGGTACAGATGTCGGACACCACCCCAGTGCCACCGCTGACATACCCCTACGGCGAGGACGACTGATGCATGAGATCTCCACCAAGGCCCTGAAAATGATGATTCTAGCTGACATTTTTAGGTATAGAATGGTAAAACTGACATAGCTACACTCATGTAGTCGGACATGAAATTTATAGGTTAATGTGATGATATTAAATGTGTTTGAGAAATGTTGTTTGATTTCTATTTGTTTTTCATCATTGATTCTTTTTATGGAAGTGAGACACTAAGCAGGTATGTTTAGTTATGGTGTAAAATTTTGAGTGATTTGTTTTTTGATGTTTTAATATTTTGATAAGTTGAAATGTTATTAACCAGGTCAGTTTGACGCAGAGGAGGAGATGGGACAGTGCTGAGGACTTGTCTCCAACGGCGGGCTGTGTTCTGGAACCTCTGGCCCCAATTATCATAACAACAGCTGACCTGGTTGATATTTGACTATATTTTGATTTATGTTTTCTATTTTGATTGGGGTGGAATGAATGAATCATATTACTGTATATCAGGGTTGGGATGTTAGAAATTTTCCAAGTTGTGCTGTATCGCTTAGAGTAATTTGCATACACATTTGTGCCTTAATGCGAACATATAGATTATAAATTTCTTATTTTGTTTCACATGATTTGGTCATGTGAAAAGGGGATTGAAGAAATTTATAGTTATTTATAGATTAGTACTGATATTAGAACAACACCAGAGTATTAGGGTTTTCTTTTTATAACACTTTTATAATGTTTGACCTATTATGTGTTAATTAAAATAGAGTAGCTACATGTCCGAATTATATAACAACACATAAGTAACTGTTTTTAAACCATTAGAGTGAGGTCTCTGTTTGAATGCCTGTGATTCAGCCGTAGATCAGCAGGGGGCGAACTCAGGCATTGAAGAATCGTGTATATAAAACATGCACTTCCTGTTTTTCATTCTGTGTGGTTTGGCTTGTCAGCCGGTGGCAAAATAAACCTCACTCACTCCAGAATTCTGGTTGTATGACATTTATTTCCTATCACAGATCATCTTATTTAACACTTGTGTTTTCATCTGATTTCAGGTTAAACATCACACATCAACAAATCATTAAACACGTATTTCTTACAGTATATTTTAAACTAGTTTATGTAAATGTKAAGTTTTAACTGTAAATAATGTGCAAAAAGTTTTTGTGCATAGCATTTAAATTTTCACCTTGTGTTTTTGGATAATTAGTCATAAACAAAAGAGCCCATTGTAGTGTCATGGACTAGGTTTCAGTTCCACCAGCAAACAGGTTCATGACTGTCATCAGCAGGTTTGTGTTGTTGAAGTGACTGTTGGAGAGTCCAGATTCCTGCAGGAGTAGAACAGCTGGCTTTCAGACAACACTCTGAACTGGAAATAAAACTGGAAGAGCAAATTAAATATTACAAGTCAAGTTATTTTGTCTGCTGAAGTTTATWTGTTGTGAATCAATCCTTCCACCTTTTCCCCATTTTTTATGGTTCAACTCTTCTCACTAAATGAAATTCTCTGAGAAAAACCAAAGATAATTTTGAAATYGAACCTTCAGTTGTTTCTGACGGATCATGAAGGCGTCTGCGAGGCCTCGGCACATCTGTGGATTCAGGGTCTCTTTTGAACGATTCAGCRTGTTTAAATGTTGCTTGTTGGTGGCTTCAAAAATATTCAGTKTTTTCTTCCTGGCAGAGATGACTAATTTACCAATCATTGGGAACAAATTGTTCAACTATATAAAAAAAGGTTTTAAAACGGCAAGGAATATTTTTTTCTAATGAAGTCTTAATTACATTTTGTTGTCACGATATTCATAAATGAGATSTGAGAAATGTATTTCATTATAGAAAAACAACACCTTTATTGCTGGTGAGGATAATAGCTGAATGCTTTTGGCTGTTTCATTCACAATCGTTTGAAAATCTGGATCCTCGTATTCAAATCTGCTTCCATAAACCATGGAGCWGATTATATTGGATGCAGCGTAGTTTATGATATGGAACATATCAAAAGCTTCACCTGCAATAAAAACAGAAAACATCTATCAACACTTTTCAGAAAATACAATCACGTTGCTATTCTTGACAGCTCTTACCTTTGAACTTTTCAAACTCCTGAATGAGGCTCTGACTTTCCTCAGTRATTTTGTCCTCACACGCTCTCCCTCCCATCCCGAAGTCTCTCAGGTTTGTCAAAGCAAAGTGGCACATTTTTTTCCACGAGTCACCAATTGCCCATATAATACCTGTTTGAAACATTTCACCAGGTCAAACTGCTGTATAGATGTTGTAAATTTGACATTAAAGGCACATTGTGTAGGATTTGTTGTTTTCAGYGACATCTAGTGGTTGAGTGGTTGAATCATCCTCCCTGGTCCTCCCCCCACCCCCACTCCCTGCTTCCAAAYGCAAAGGAGTTGCTACGGTGTCTCTCAGGTGTCAAAAACCTTTGATAATTCCAACCACGATGTCTACCAGCAGCTTCAGGGCTAGTGATGTTTCAAGTGGTAAGATTATGAGCTTTAATAAGTAAAATTATCCCAGCTACAATGACAGACAACAAATATTACATTTATAGTATTACAACTAAAACCGTTTTTGACGCCGTCATCGCAGTTTGTCCTTCATGAGCCTTCAGAGACAAGATGGCGGCTGCCTGTAGTGGCGACTAGCGACCATGGAGATATAAACAGCTTTTATAAGGTAAAAATATTAAAACAAGGTCTTTGTCTGCATTGATTAGACATATTTATTATTGTCATTAGTGATTAGCTCAATTTCGGCTAAAAGAATTGACAAAATCCTACACAGTGTGCCTTTAAAAGAAATAAAACTGAATTACCATGATCTAAGTTTGCTTCTTTTAAGATTTTGGGTACATCTCTTTCTCCAAACTCTTCATCGTAGTTAACAAGAGCCTCTTTCATGGTCCTGTATCCCACCAAGACCACCACTTTCTTCAGTCCCAAGTGGACAGAGAACACAGAGCCATATATTTTGGAAAGCTAAAACCAAGGGTACAATATAAGAAAAAAATAGAATGATGATTAATCTATTAGGTAATTTTTATTATCATTAACTGTGATGCATGACTGTCAAATGTCTCATGTTTTTATTTATTATTTCACTCTTGACTTTTGGTATGCTACTATTATTTTAAGAAAATACTATTCTGAATCAAAAAGGGTTAAACCTAATGCTAAAAAATCTCATTTTAAATATTTGCATAACTTTAAAAAGAATTACCACTTAACGCTTTCTATTTATTAATTTTAATATTTCAATTAGGGCTGTGAAATTAATCGAGTTAACTCTGATTAATTTTAGAGCTGCATGGGCATAGATTAAAAATTTTAATCGCAATTAAATTTTACAATCACTTTCCTCTGGCTGAATATGTAGGTTTGTGTGCACTCAGTGCATGCCAGGTCATATTTGTAAATGAGAAGTGTTTCTCAAACAATTTAAATAAAGGTTAAATAAATAATATAAAAAACTCCATGTGTAACACATTATGTATAGTTTTTTGTCTTCTTATGATTTATTTTATTTTATTTATTTATGTTTTGCTGACAACTGTGACCTTAGTATCTCTCTTTCAATTCTCATGTAGTACTATAGTAGTAGTATATAGTAGTAATAACTCAAGTAATTTATTTTACCAATATGCAAAAAACTTTTATATTAAGTTGAAGATTAATCGTGATTAATCGTGATTAATTCACAGCTACCTTGGAATTAATAGATTAAAATTTTAAATCATTTGACAGTCCTAATTATTAGCTTACTTTTCTACCCTAGCATCAAACTTTCATTTTTATTTTCATTATTTTTAGTTTCACAAAGTTCCTGTTGGTACAGTGGTAATTAGAAGACTTGGGAATAATAACAGCTGGCAGATTATGTTAGCTGCTGGTGTTATGTTGCATTCTGTTTACATGGTATTCTGGGAACTGGTAAATGGTAGTGACGTCATTTCCCAACAAACCACATGGAACTGCATTCCAGTTAGCCGACAGGCCATGGTATTGTTGCCGCAAACCTAGCTCTACAACACTGCTACAATGTAAACGATGAGGAAAAGAGAGCTGTACTCTAACATCATCCAAATAAACAATRATTTTAACACGTGCATTATTGCGCAGAAAACACACTACTTCTGCAAGTGATTAAACATGCACAAAAAAGTAAAAAAGATAATTAATWGTAAAAGTTACKGAGTTAACTTTCTAAAGCTGCRAGTAGCCGCCATCTTGAAATCGAAACTGGGGGCAGTTTCATTTTCTTCCACTATATGAATGGAATATTACCACTGGAGGGGGCGTTCCAGTTTAAATCTACCAATGGGAACATTTAAATTACCACTTCCCAGGACTACTGGAACGCAGCATTATATGTTTAAATAAAGACGCCGACAGTGTTGGACCCGTTGTCCAGATTCATTATTTCAGCTCCAAGTTACATTTCAAAATAAGAGCAACAACAGTAAGAAGTGTTTTTTTTTTTGAGACATTTGGAAATAGGGAGAACTAAATGCTTGTTTTTAACCATACATTGCAGTTTCAAAAATATGTTTTGGTTGTTAAAATTAATGTGAAAGTAGTTAAAGTCAAAAGTGAAAGAAAAACGGAAGAGAAGAGCCAAACTTTTCGAAAAACAGAGCAAATACAACTAGCCAAACAGTGTTTATGCTTGAGAAACGCCTACTTTGAGTCTGAACAGCAAATGTTAGCACACATCTGTCAACAGAAACATTAAATCAACTCTAAAANGTTATAATGTAAATACAATAAAAATTAAACTAAGATTTAGAATAATTATCATTTTGATCCATACATTGGTAATGTCTGACTGGGCCTCGTGTCACTTTATGTTCAACAAATTGGGCCCTGAGGTCAAAAAGGTCAAGAACYCCTGGTTTATWTGATTAKGATGGTATATGTTTAAAAAAAAAGKTTGACCTTTTCGATAAAATGACCCTGGAAGACGACATYTTGGCTCGTTCTGTGCATCAAAGCCAAAGGAAAGATGTTTGCTAGTCTCTGTGTCTCGTGGAGGACGGCGTTGGTAAAAGGCAGGTTCTGTCTGTCCTGGACCTGAACCTGACGACCTCCCAGAACTCTGCTCAGCTCCTCTTGGACCTTGGCTGGAAGATCACAGAATATAAAGTGTTTATGACAATGATTCTCTCTGCAGAGTCTCATATGATAAAACAAGATGCATTATCATATATGTTTATAAACTACCTGAATTCTCACCTTGTATTTTTGGATACTTGATCATAAAGAGAAGAGCCCACTGGAGTGTGCTTGATGTTGTGTCAGTACCGGCAGCAAACAGGTTCATGATGGTCAGCAGCAGGTTTGTGTTGTTGTAGTGACTGTTGGAGATCTCAGACTCCTGTAAGTGAAGCTCAGATGTTAGATAATAGAAACTGGAATGTTCTTTATACTCTACCTCTTTAAACGATAAGCTTGATATTTGAATTTCCTCTCAGTTATAAAATCTCAGACAGGTAACAAGGTGTCTCACCTTTAGCTGCTGCTGTCGGACCATGAAGACATCTGCTACACTTCTGCACATCTGAGGATTCAGGGTCTCTCTTAAACGATTCAGAAGCATTAAATGATGTTGTTTGTTTTCTTTAAATATATCTCTCAGTTTCTTCCTGTCAGAAARCAGCAGTTTGCCGATGCTTGGGAACAAGTTGTACACCTGTTGATGGACACAAATCAGCACATTCAAAATATCTCAACTCTGCCACTTTTCAAATAAAAGTTTTTGTTTTTTGTGTTTAGTCTGCTGAATGTTTACAAAGTTTTATTGTTTAAAGAGTAAAACATTACCCACACTGCAGGGGAGCCTAAAAGATTGAGGCCTCTGGATGTTCGGGTTACAATTGTTTGAAATTCTGGATCGTTGTATTCAAATCTGCTGCCATAAACCATGGAGCAGATTATATTGGAAACAGCATAGTTTGTTAGCTGGGTTATTTCAAAAGCTTCACCTGCAAAAAAAAAAAACAGAAAAAATATCAAAACTCCAGTGGCGTCACTAGGCCTATTTTAGAGGGGCTGGAGCCCCCTTAAAATGTTTTTAAAAAACTAAATTATTTTGGTGTAAAATTATTTTTTACAAAAATTCAATATGATGTGGTCATAATAAATAACTTTAATATTTCATTATTAACTAAAATATATGATCATAAATCTGTCAGTTTCCCTTTAATTTATAGTGTAAGGTAGAGATCCTCTTTGGTGCATCGTTATCCAGTCCACGTTTTTCCTGCAACCTTAATTGCAACATGCAAGCAAGTTTACACACAGAGCCAGCTAAGTGCAGCATGAAGGCTCAGTAATAGATAAACAATAGACTAATAATAATTACTTCACCATCCCTGTTGACCTGTAGGAGTCAGGGCAGAGGAGCACAGAGAGTGAGAGAGGAGAGACCTCTTCYGGAAAGGTGAGTCTAAGCAAAGGTCACCAATGCTGAGGAGCAAGGACCAAATGAGTAGAGGCACGGTATAAAAGTAGTGTCTGTATTCACAGATCCATCTAAAATAGTTTTAATGTTCAGTTTTGGGGTATTTTTGAATTGACGTTAAAATATTATTTGGCCTTGAAGGTGTAGTGTCTAACTAAGAGTGGGGGGGGTTTGTCTCAGGAATGCACGGATGTGAGGCCCCTTGAGCCTCCAGCTTCAGAGCTCGGCACATATCACCATATTAGGAAAGAAGAACGCTTGAGGTATACCGTGACAAGATTTACAGTATGTACATCTGTGGAAAATGTATAAAGAGCCCTGTACGCCCCCGCCCTTGGCCTTCGT